CCCGTACTACGGAGGGTCGCGCAGGCTGAGGGGAACTGAGGCAGACTGCAAAAAATTAATGATCAGAACCTGCTCCTCGCCATCAGACAACTGGAGGCGTAGCAGAAAGGCGCCGGCTGCCGAAGATCCACAAGAAAAGCGCGATGATATCACTTGGCAGCGGCGTCGCTACTTGGTCTGATCGATAGAGGCAGACAGTGCAATACGACTATTGCGTGTTGGACAAGGTACCATGGGAATGATACCGGCGGTGAAAGCTGAAGGTCGAAAATTGGAATTTCGTAGTCCCACGTATTGAGGCAGTAGAATGAGTTCAGAATTGATATATTCAAAATTGAGCTTTTCCATGTAGGTGATTGCTTTACGGCAAGGGCCATTAATCACATATCACTACCACCATATTTCCGCAGAAAACTCGCATAAAAATATTTCATGCCAATTTGCTGTTGACATTAGCATAAGCTCATCACTCTGTTGTTGAGCAGGCATTTGCGTTATATGCCTTTAACATACGAGGTTTTCTGTCACTGTATGACAGCTCATTAACTGCGTGATGTACTGAGCTGTTGTTTCGTCCGAATCGTCTAAAATACTGTTTAAATCCGTCCACGGTCCCGTAGTTTCGAACGGACACGTGCTGGAATCATGTGACGTCATTTTATTCATCACAGCAATTTCTTGTTATGTTCATAACATTATGACGATGGCATCTTCAATGCTACATCTGTCCATACGCAACTGTGCGTTCATCACGCCCAGGCTTCAAATTCTTACTAGTTAAATAATCATGTCAAGAACGCGTGATTGTTAATATGCAAATACTTTCTGCAAAACTGAGTTACCCAACGGTGCAAGTATTCGATGCTTGATAAAGGTCCTATCACATTTGCCTCATATGGCCTTAACTTTTTTCTTCAACGTCCGAATAATACCGTAAATTAAGGTAAAATGATCAAGTAAAAATAAAACAGCATGAAGGAAATTAAGGCGAATATTGGATTCATAGTGTGATAATTCTAAATGACTGCTCCATTTGATCAGTGACTTACCTCAGCGGATGGCAAGTCGCTGACTCGCGAATATTCTTGTGCGATCTACACGAACGGACGATGGATGCCGCTGTGCTGTTCGATGCAAGTGTCCCTTGAATCTACGCTTTGTCTTGACTCACCGGATGGTCCAGTATCCAGTGTGATAACCAGTACAAGGTGTAGCCTTGAAAACAGTATTAGGGACTGAACGGTGTTCTGGTGCCGTCATACCATGATGGGAGTGAAGTACGGACATGACGGCTGATGCAAGCGGTTTGGGGTTCCGTGATCCATCTGATAACAAATTATCAGGAGTCATAATCAGCATGTCGCAAACCTAAAAAACTGCTGTGCCCAGTAGTGGATCAAAGCTGATTCGTATGGAACAACCTTTGTTTGAGAATGTCTTCTGGTCGTTTTTGCTGTGGAACGACAATAGCATGAATGCACAAGTTTGCCAAAGTCTTCGATCCTGATCACTAAAGTTTCGCTGAGGTTATTTGCATTTAGTGTTGGCCAACTTTCTCTTTCCTCATGCCCTGTCTTAACAGAAGTAGCACGATAAATGGCTTAATATGGACAGATTTGTTCAAGTTTCCATGAACCTCTTGCATGCCTGATTAAATAATGGAATTTCTTTCGACCGCTGACCAATCAGGGAGCAGCTAGACGTGTAAGCAGCTCGACGAAAGAAATTGCTAAGTAAAATCCCTTGTTTCTGGAGCTGAAAAATTAACAGTGTTATTACTCTCAACCGAAATGAGCTCCAACGTTTCTCCCTCGTGCGGCAATAATGCAAAAAAAAAGCGCCAGGTGCGGAAAAACTTGTTTTATTCAAGTTTATTAAGCTGTCGATCATGTTGCCCATTCCTTCGATTCATTGATTGCTCTATCTCCTCGCATTCACTCATTCGTTAATTTTCTAATCAGCTTCGTCGTATAAGTAATCGAATTTCAACTTTTTCGTTGTCACGCCTTTCACGATTTATAAAAGGCAAATAAAGACGTGGTTTTTTTTCGACCTATGGCTAACAGCGGAATAATACCTCCCTGACGAGCATTGAGGTAGTTAGTTGGTCCAGTTGCATTGCGACAACCCCGTTAGGTCTTCTAAAGTCTGTTATGTTTTGGGCGGTCGCTGTCAGGGACTCGACGTTGCGGCTGCCTGCTTGAATCTGTATCACTACTGCATTAAGCGTCAATTATTTAATTTGACCCATCGGTTATATATCAATATAGAACCCGCCGTTAATGAAGTAAGGCGGTTTTGTAAAACTCGTGAATTTTTGGATCGTTATACTATTGTGGTGACCGTGCGAGTTCGTTTATCGTTATATAAACACCCAATCCTGCGGCCGCGATTAGAACTTGCGTGATTCATATCAATTACTCACTAAGGGTAAAACAAATCAGCGCTGTGTCAGTAGTCACTAGGAGTAGGAATTGATATCATTGGCAGA